TCCTTTGAAAATGCAACTCAATGGGTTTTCTCTTCCTCTTTCAGCCATTTCAGAATTATGCTGCCTAGGCCTGATCTAATTTTCCTGCTGTAGAAGTTAAAGCACTTCCTCCACAGTTACTAAATCTGACAAATTACACCTGGGTCCACTCTAACGTGAAAAAAATGTGCTCTTTGTTCCTGACCCTTTGGTCAGCCTAGAGATCAAATTCCTGGACATCGGAAAGCCCCACTCATATTCATTAAACACCACAGGAGACCACCTCTGTATTTCTGTTCAAGAGAACAAGGTGCAGGCTATAGCTGAACAGTACAGCTGCTCRGCTCCAGTCAGTGCAATAAGGACTTTTCACTTTTTGCAGCTCTATTACTGATCAATTCGTATGTGGATTTTTTTTTTCTACATAGCATCATAGTGTCAAAAGAACAAATGAAATCAGAAAAAGTAGAGGCCAGTTGATTTTTTAAAATATATTTTTTAGTTGTAAATGGACCTTTATTTAATTTATTTATATGAAGTGCTGGGTGTAGAACCCAGTGCTTCGCACATGCTAGGCAAGTGCTCTACCACTGAGCCCCAACCCCAGCGCTGAGGGAAGTTGATKTTTAACTCCCAAGTCCCATGAGTAATTTGACTGAAATCTGTTTATGCTAAACTCAACTGACAGTAACCAAAAATTTTAAAAAACTATTTTAAAATTCTACCTCCCCCTACCCCAGCCAGACAAGCAATTCATTACCACAGTGGCTAATATCTGACAGGTGAGATGTTTTGTCTCTTTCTAACCATACTGAGCCTTTGGAAAAGACATTCCAGAGCTGAGAGAGAATCTGAAAGAGGAAATCATGAGCCATCTTGGAGGCAGAGAATCAACAGTAGAGGCATGAGAAATCCCTGAGCTTTCAAAGTTCAAGGCTGACCTAACTGTATGGCAACACAAGACCCTCTTCTCCTCTTCTCCCCAAAAGAGAGAGAAGAAAACAACAACAGGAAGTTAAGTGAATCTGTGACCAAACTCTTCAAAGAAGATTCCTCAAGATTCCTGGAAGAAGGAAATGATAAGAGGACACATACAGAAGCCACAGAACCTGCCTTATGGCCTCCGGAGGTAGGGGTGACCCAGAAACTCATGGACACTTTGCTTTCCCTCCACGGGAGCCCATCTCCTTTCCTGGACATGTAACATCACTCACAACTTCATCAGGTTAAAACATTAAACTTCCCCAGACCCACTAAACCACATTCGAATCCTCTTGCTTGGGGATCTAATAAGTACCACAGAATATTCTGGTTGGAAGCGCTCTGATATGTTCTAAGTTATTTTCTACATGCCTGTCAAATTGTAAATCAGGAAACTGAATTCTTTAGGAAGCTTTTAGCTGAGACACAAGTTACAAACATGCGATGTATACAGATGAATATTTTTTGAAGCTAAACTAAATCTCAATCCATATTATTTATTTATTTGTTGTTCATTTTTTGGATGCTGGCGGTCAAATCCAGGGTCTTGTGCATGCTAAGCAGTTACTCTACCACTGAGATATACTTTAACCCCATATTTTCAAACAAACAAACAAACATGAGTCATAGTTATTTGCTTGGTCTAATGGCAATTGTTTTTGAGAGACTTCTGAAAGGATAGAAATCGTGTCAGAGTTCTTATTTTGTTTCTGCTTTTAAATTCAAACTGTTAGCCATATTAGCAATTCAGAACTTAATATTTCCTCAGAACATTCATTGGAAATGCATGGAAATCAATATTAATCAGTTTACATGATGAGAGGGGGTGAAATATCTATTGGGTTATTAAGCAGGCATTTATCTACAAGAGAATCTCAGGGATGGCACCAAACTTTTGAAAGTAGAAAAATAGTACCTACAATATTAAGTTCTCCCAAATTTTGCTTCTTGTCAAATTTTTAATGGTGAAAGATGTTAAAAAGTGTCCATACCCACAAATATGTACTTTTTTCTTTTTTTAAAAGATTCTAACTGTGGTAAACATTCCATGGCGGGGGGCAGGGGGGCATCTATGAAAAAGACTAAGGTAGACTTCATTTCCCTGTTTTATAACCCAAATAAATTTAAGTGGTTTGCTTAGTGTCACCCAGTCCGCARAGGCTAACCCAGGGCTAGAACTCACCCATCTGACTCCAAGTACATCAATGTCCTTATGAAGGCTGACAAAGGAGTTAAGCAGATTGGAAACATCAGTGCCCTACTGGTTGTAGTAGCTACACTTATCAAATGCTTACTCCATGCCTGGAAGTCTAGTTGCTGCAGAGGCATGAACTCTGTCTTCATATCAACCACTTAAGAGAAATAATGTCTTTTCCCATTTTAAAGGTGAAAAAAACAGAGGCAGAGAGATAGATGTTAAGAAACTCATCCAGGGTCCCACAGTTGAATAAGTAGTAGAAATGGAAAACACTGTCCTCCTTCTACAGAAATGTGGACATTCCTGGGATTAATGCTCAGATTATCATAGAAATATTCATTTTAACAAAATATCCTCACAGTGCAATCCAAACAACTCATGTCTCCAAAGATAGGATGAAACTGAAATTTCCATTTGATCAACCTTTGTATTTTTGTTCAAAATACAAAACACCAACAATTAGGGTGGAGAAAATCCCATTTAGAGACCTCCCTCACTGTAAAGAAGTGCTCAGCAGGAAATAATTCAAAATCTATGAAAATCCCAATACATATTACAGTAGCAACAACTTTAGGATAACACCTCAGAAGACTAATTAACGCTGCCTATCTTCTTAACTTTACCACYCTCCTCAATATTAAAATTAAAAAATCTTAAATGGTTCAATCTCGTCTAGAGATAACTGGATTGTCTGCAGTTTGTATCATCACCAAAGACAGCTCATGCCCATTACATTGCATATTTGAAGTACTTTTGAGATGCTGTTGCAAGGTCCTTTGCCCAGGACCAAAAACCATTGCCTCATCCATCACCGCTGTAATCTGGTTTAGCTGACCTCTATCCTAAACAGATTTGCATCAGCTCAGATAATGGAGGAAGTTAGTTGCTGTCATCATTTCAGCAACTATCAATCCAGGAATCTCTGAAAGTTCTGTTTATTCGGGTATAGCCTAAAATGCTCTGCGCCTCTTGAAGATTTTTCAAAAATCATGTTTGGTTATTGAAGAAATGATTTTAACTTATATGTGAGCTTCTCTGACAATCACAAGTCATTTGTCAACTACTGCATTGTTATTAAGAACTGGACTGTGAAGGGAGAAATGCTCTGGATGCATCCTGCCCTATACAGAAATGCTAATACCAACATCCTGTGTTACCCCGAGATCAGTTTCTAGATTGCAGGTTGACAGGACTAATTTCTGTTGTTTGTTCTCTTGCCCTTTTCCACCTTCTCATGCATAAAAATAATTAAAAAAATTGATGGACATTAATAAAACAGAATATGAACTGGATCTGCCAATTATAATCTCTAATCATCATACCACACCTACCACTACCACCCCTCAGCCATTCTATATTCCCTGAAGTCAGACCTGCTGGGCTCAAATCAGGATGCTACCACTCACTCTCTGTGGTGTTTCTGAGCAGTTACTTAACCTTTCTTTGCCTGAGTTTTCTTATCTGCCAAATGAGGATCATAATAGTGTCTATCTTCTAAAGGTACTGTGAGGATGGAATGAGATAACAGTTAGAATGGGCTTAGAATAGTGCCTGGCAGATAGTATTTAATTAAGAGTTCACAATCATTGTCAGGTTGGTTTTTAAAGAGAAATGAACTTCCTGTACCCATTTATCAGTCCTTCTGGGTACCAACCAGTAAAGGTAGGAAAACAATTACAGAAAATATCTCAACTTTTTATCTCCACAGAAGACAAAGCAAACTGTTATGTGAAAAAAGCAATCTTAATTCACTGCCTGCCCTCTTCTAGCCCTATCCACTGCTAGGGAGAGATTAGGGCACTTTTCCAGATAGGGTATGTAAAGTTTAGTTCTGCTCAATATATACACAGAACCTTCAGGGGAAAAAAAGATGGGGGGGGCCTAGAATTTTGAATTCTCCAATACTGAAGATCAGCTGATCCAACACTCCCATTTCAAACATGGAAACACTGGCTCTGCGGCCAAGTGACTTGTCCAAGTTCACGTATGTACTTAGTGGAAGAGCTAAGGGCAGAAAAATAGTAACTATTATCCTAAGCAAATTACCAGTCACTCTCCTAAGTCCACTGCAAATGCTACTATTTAGTCTTTGTGATCAACCTCTAAAGTAGGTATTATTTTTGAATCTTTAAGAATCAAAAACTAAGGTTTAGCCACCATGAAGTAATTTCAAGACCTGGCAACTGTCAACCAATAGTGCCAAGATCCACAGTGCTTCCTGTCTGGCTAAGTATCTGCTTCAAGTTTTCTAGGGCACAGTTTGAGAATTCTGGTACCAAGTTCTCAACCAGTAATTTCCAAACTGCCTGTGCATCAGCCTCACTTGGGGAACTTTAAAAAATACAGATTTCTGGGCTTCATCGAAGGAAGGTGAATCATAGCCTGATTTGTGGGTTTCAAAATCTGTTTCAACAGAGCTGGTCATTCTGACATGTAGAGAGCTTTGAGAAACCCTAATCTATGCCAGGTATTTTATGACTGCTTCCAGTATAAAATAAGAGGGAAAGGAGCTACCAAAGATCGCTGAAATGTTCAGAGGAGCCAAACATGTGTGAAGGGTAGCATGGAACCTTCCCCAGGTCCCCCCATGTCATGCAGACACACGTGCATCCCCAATCCCATACATATGTACATATCTAGCAAAGCCCTACTCCCATTGATCTTACCTAAAGGAATCTTTTTCAAAATGAAAATAATACATACTGTGTTTGCCACAGTACCAGAGTATGTGTTTTGTTGGAAAGACAGCTTTCTTTCCATCCTGATCATTTTCATTTAAAAGATCTAAATTCAAATCATGCTTTCCTGGTGTGTAAGGAAAACTGTTCGAATCAACACTTACCAAGGTGCACCATATATCCTGAATCCTTTCACTGTTACCTCTGAATCTTGCAAGTAAATACTGTTTGTCAGGAGGGACTGAACATTGTCAAAGTCCTCTGGTTTCAATTTGGACACAGAGGGGAAACGGTAGTAGTCCTGTTTAACAAGGTCTGCCATGAATTCCTTATCAAATGTCAGTTCATGATTCCCAGCAATCACTATTTTATATTCATATGGCAGGTTTCCTGAAATAAGAAAAAAAAAGAGCACCAATTAGCACGTTCATTTCCCATCACAAAGTACAGCAGCCAAGATTGTGTGATTAGCAGACGCTTCACCCAAATGAAATAGCTCACACATTCCTTTATATTTCCGTGTGAACCAAAATTTATGATTATTCCTTGATGCTAACAAAAATAAACAGGAGATAGGAAGCTGCTAAGAAGCTAAAAAGCTACTAAGAAAACATTAAACTTTCTAGTTCCATTTCCCTCTTCTGTATTCTACAGATTCACTGTGATGGGATCTACACAGTCATGAATCTACACTTCATAATTATCCCGTCAAAAGCTTTTTAGTCATGATACCTAAGAGAAGGCCTGAGGTTGGTTTGGTCCTCAAAAAATATGCCAACCAACTATTCTTAACAACTCAGATAAATGCTATATTTTTAGTATATCCTTCACAGAAAAGACATGGCATAACCAAGCATTCCGAAATTTACATATACGAAAGGAACCACATCTTACAGTTTCATAATGCAAGTATAATTTCAAGTGTACCTTTTGGCTTGTGAATAAATAGAACATTATTAAGGGGCCCCTGATTGGAAGGCTAACTTTCCCCCCGTTGGGATGGGAGAAGAAACTGTAACGCTTAACCCCCTTTTAATATTTATGGTATGGAAATGTGAGTTCTCGGTGTGTGCTTTTTATGCAAAAGTTTCCCGATYGAAATGAGATAATTCTGGGAAGAAGAATGAAAGCTATAAAGGAAAACCCAAACACCAGACTTCTGCATAGATTTATAATGTTTGAATAAAGTACAGATCATACATATTAATAACTCACCGTGATGCTATAGGAACCCAAATCCAAAGGCAGATAGTACCGGGCAGCTGTCCCCATTCTGAGATTAATGCCCTTTTCTCTACTCTGTCACTACCCATCTCTCAAGCCTCACTGTTGGGCTGCTGCTTATTTTATTTCATTTTGGAGGAAGAAAAGGACAACAGCGCCTATGATTCTAGCTTCCTGAGACTCCTGGATCCTATGCAAAATTAATGTTTCCTGCTATTCCAGGAAGAATTAAAGTTACTACTCTCAGGAAATTGGATACACTTGTTGTAAGAATTGGTCCTTACCAGCAAGCCAGGGTCAATGATCTAATTAAGAAAGCTTAGTAGGGAAGAGAATTTGGGGCGGAGATTGGGGAGGGGACCAAGTTCTGTCATGGGTCCACTTGGATTTCAGCAACGAAAACCACAAAGGTTACACTTGTGAAGTCCTTCCTTGCAATCTCAGCCGCACACTGCAAACATGCTAATGTACAGTGGTTTTAAAGATGGAGATTTGCAATGTTTTGCAATGTTACTATTTTTCTTTGGCTTTTAATTTTCAGTTTCTAATGGTAACAGAATTRCATATATAGGGGGTGCATTAATGGGGAGGATAAGAGAGAGATGAAAGCAGTCTGATGGAAAATGACACCACAGAGAGATGAAACCAGAAATGYTGAGGCCAAGAGTCAATGCATATCCTTGATAACTAGCCCACATAACCATGCCTTTGGCCTCAGTTATTTGCAAGGCTGTGCTGAGGAACACATCCAAAATAAGAAGCCTCCCTCAAATTCATGTTTATGCAAGTTTGGCAATTATTAGTGTGATGTATGTTGCAAGCTACTTAGATTGAATGGTGATGACACTTTGCACAACCCCTGCACTTGAAGCACAGATGAAGGATAGTATTATTAATAGGGCAACAAATTCCCAGCACGGAACATGCTGGAAATTCATAGGCCCTTCTACTCTAATATCATGGCTTTGTGAATCCTCCAATGGCTTGATTTTGTACCCCCAGTTTCACCTGTGCTCCCAAAGCTAAAACAGACTAAAATGTTTTCCTGGACAGTAAGGCATCCCAAGACAGGTCCTGCCTGTGCGAATCTTTGAGCAGCTCTACTTGTACACATTGTACTGTGGCTGTCCAGCTCCACTTTATAATCTTTTCATGAAGATGGAGTCCCTGAAAACCCTTTTATTATGCACAAATGCTCTTGCAAGAGGACTTGGCTTCTCCATTTGTCCTCATTTTAGAGCTTTGGTTCCGAACAGGTAAGACCAGGACACAGGGTGAAGGATRTACCATTTTTCCCTTTCAGACCAGTTTCTAAAAAAATAAAATAAAATAAAAACTGCTGCAAAGTAAATCTTCTTCAGGACGACAGGCATCCTTGGTGTCTTTTAAATCAAATTTTGGAGACTCAGCATAAAGAAGTAGCCACCGAAATGAACACCCGCAGAAACTGTGATGATATTTACACATCACCAACAAACTCATCTCTTTCTGGGAATCCAATAGTAGTTTCCARCTTCCATCCTCTGTTACCTGTGTTATGAGATTGTCTGACATATTTTCTTTTTTGCTGAACTGACCTTTCATCTATAATCTGCCAACCTTTATGTTTTATATGAAAAGTGTAAGCAGGRCAGCTGACAAATCTCCTGTTACTTGATGGCATTTTCATTTTTTTCCAGACTAGATTAATTTGGAAGCCTCTGCAGTCAAGCTTCAAACTTCTTGGTATTCAAATGGCATCACTTTCAAATTGTCAGACAAAGAGTTGCCTGCCTTCATCCATTTTATTCATATTAGCCCATTTAAGCCAACCTGTTTGAAAAAAAAAWWTWAAAAAAAACCCAAGTCCACATATAGATATTCTAACATAGAAAATATTCTTTGCTCTGAATGACGTAAAGAACTCTACCAAGTAACCATTTCCATCGTTCCCAAGATATGGTGTATGTTCCACTAATGACAGCCAAAATTATTTTAGGTGGAGTGAAGATGAACCCTTGACAAAATGTCAAATAGTTCTGTGCATTTTAAAAATGCATATTTTGGAAAAAAAATACAATATAACATCATTAAATAATAATATACAGCCTTCATTTCTTAAAATTTTTACATGTAAAATAAGAGGTGACTAACTCACTCTAGTCAGAATGGCAATTATCAAGAATACAAGTCACAATAAATGTTGGTGAGGATGTGGGGAAAAGGGTACATTACACTCATACATTGCTGGTGGGACTGCATATTGCTGCCACCACTCTGGAAAGCAGTATGGAGATTCCTCTAAAAACCAGGAACAGAACTACCCTAGGACCCAGCTATCCCACTCCTTGGCATATATCTAAAATATCTAAAATCAGCATACTATAGGAATACAGCAACATCAATGTTTGTAGCAACACAATTCGCAACAGCCAGGCTACAGAAYCAACCTAAGTGTCCTTCAACAGAAGAATAGATAAAGAAAATGTTTTGGGGTAAAATTGGGAGTTCATAACCCACTTCAATCTAATGTATGAAATATGATATGTCAAGAGCTTTGTAATGTTGTGAACAACCAATAAAAAAAAAAGAAAATGTTATACACACACACACACACACACAATGGAATATAACTTAGCTATAAAGAAGAATGAAGTGGCATTTGCAGGTAAATGGATAGAACTGGAGACCATCATGCTAAGTGAAATAAGCCAGACCCAAAGAGTCAAAATTCAAATGTTTTCTCTGATATGGGAAAGTTAGTCCAAAATAAGGAAAAAAAATAAAAGTGGCAGTGGGAGGGATTCCATCAAACAGAAAAATCAGTGGAGTAGAGGAAAGGGGTTGAGGGGAGAGGCAGGAGGGACAGGAAAAGGGAAGAACAGMGGAATGAATTTGACCTCAATTTCCTATGTGCATATATGAACACACCACAGTGAATCTTACCAACATGTATATCCACAGGCACTAATTTAAAAAAATGAAAAGAAAAATATAAGTAAATAGCATGAAGATCAGTAAAAGATGGGGATGGGGAAGAAGGAGGGCAGGGGAAGAGGAGGTACTGGGGACTGAATAAAACAAATTATGTCAAAATGAACCCTAATATTACGTACAACTGAAAAGAACTAATAAAGCAGAAAACTTTAAAAGATAAAAACAAGTAAGAGGTGACTTAAAGAAAACTTTGAGCCAATAAGAGCACAAGTAATTCACAGGCACAGCCAGGTGACGACGGCAGCCAGGGAATGAATGACGTGGACCACTAGCCCATCAGTCCAGTGCAGAGCTACAGACTACAGATGAGGTGTGAGGGCTYGGAGGCTGCATCTGAGTTTCATTCTAGTCTGTATCTTCCGGGCTTCGAGTGTCCCATAAATAAATTCTCATGAAACAAAAGGCAGCAGGATCCTCACTGAGACCTGATAGTTTGAATTGCCCTACACTCTTGCCACTACCTATTCCCCAAAGCAGCCTGGTTCCTTTCCGGCTCCCAGGTTTCCTCTGGCCCTCCCACCAATAGGCAACATACCCTGGAAGCACAGGGATAAAGAGCAGGGCGGGTGGCACGGCTCCTCCCCTTCACATTCAGGTCCTTCCATAGGTGTCTTCTTTCTAATCTMTGGCCTCTTCTTCTCCTTCCTCAGACTCCCTCTGGCACCTTCCTCTCCAGATACCGCCTTATTTTGCCATTTTGCTCCTCTCTCTTTATCTGCAGAATCTCCCTCTACAATGCGTTCACACTTACCCATCCCTTGACCCRCACACAGCCACATGTGCCACACACACAACTCTAAACAGGACTTGACCTTGACCTTGTTGTTTGACATGCTTCCTCAAGTCACTTCTAACCTCTGGGAAGAGCACCTCAGATGTGTACAGCTGGTAGGCTGAATTCAGTCCACAGAGGTGTTATAGTGAGCCCCCAACTGAAATTTTACTTTTAAAAAAAATGACCTATCAGGTGATAATACACACATACACACACACACACACACACACACACACACACACTCGGGTATCCAGCCTCTTTGGGAAAATCAAAAGATCAGGAAACACTGACTTCCATCTTCCATCTTCTGAAGACCTTTCCCCTCCTGTTTCCACTCCTACTTACTGCATCTCGCTTGCCTGATGGGCCCCTGTATTATCAGGTCTAACAATKTGCAGAGAAATGGTTACTCTGG